GGGCGCGAGTCAATGGGGGGGGGGGTAGCGAGGGCTGCAGCAAGGGGCCCTGCAGGGCTCCTCTCAAGGGGCCCTTTCAAGGCCCAGAAGGGGGCCTTGAAGGCCCGCGCAGGGCACCCTGCTTCCCCCCCGTGTATCGACCCCCCAAAAGTTCCCGCCCAGGGAGGGAAGAGGAGGAGGTGGAGAGCCTTCCCTCCTCCTCTCCTCCTCCTCCTCCTCCTCCTCCTCCTCTCCTCTCCTCCTCCTCCCCCTCGTCCTCGTCCTCCTCCTCATCCTCCTCCTCCTCGAGGGAGGGGGGCCGAGGACACACCCCGAAGCGCACGGCAGATCGACTGCCCAGTCCTCAGAGGGCATGCGGCGCAGCTGTGCAGGTGCCCTGGCTGGCCTGCGTCGACGAGGCGTGTGCGCTGTACTGGGCGCAGTGGGACAAGCTGATCGAGGTCGGGGAGGACGGGGGATATGATAATCAGCGGACGAGGAGGAGGAGGAGGAGGAGGAGGAGGAGGAGGAGGAGGAGGAGGAGGAGGAGGAGGCAGAAGAGGAGGAGGAGGAGGAGGAGGAGGAGGAGGAGGGAGGGAGGGAGGGAGGGAGGGAGGGAAGGGAAGGAGGGAGGGAGGGAGGAGGAGGAGGAGGAGGACCGTTCGTCGAGCACCAGCGTGCAACAGTTCACCAGAGACTTTGCATCGGACTTGGTGTTCTGCTGCGTGGGGGGAACGGCACGGCTGGTGTTGGAGGAGGAGCAGCGGTCGCGGGATCGGGAGCAGGATCATGGTGATGGGGGGGAGAGGGCGGCGGAGGAAGAGTTTCAGACGTTGCCGGGCACTGGGTGGAGGCGCACCCGCGCCTCCAGCGAAGTCAGATTCCACCAGTGTGCTACCATCCAGCCGCAGCCGAGCCGCCCCCCACCCTCCAGGCCCCATCGTGGGAGTGTGAGTGCTAACCCACCTCCCATCCCGCCTGGTCCTGACACGCCCAGGCACCTCATATAATACAATGAGGAAGGGCAATCATAGCAACCATACTGGTGTTATGCTGCTGTTGCTGATGATGATTTGCTACATGAGGGAGCCCGCGAGAAGCTCTGCATAATCCGCTAAGCCTATCACCTGAGGCGACGAGCGGGAAGTGGAAGAGTAGTCGGAGGCCATATGTCATGTTTCCCGACTCCCCGACCATCCAGGGACACCGCCACAGTGCCATGGCACCATATTGCGAGGGATTGCGGTTCAAATGTGCGCTGTCGGGGTGTGGATTCAAGGAAGGAGTCGTAGGATGAGGGCAGGAAATGGCAACGGAGCATGATAGGGGTGCATGCGACGGGATCAGCAGGGCCTGTGTGAGGAGAGACAGCGGAAGCGCAATTGCGGGAGAGTGGCGAGGAGGGGGGGAGGCAGGGGAGCAGGAGCATGGCAGACGGGAGGGAGGGAGGGAGGGAGCAGGTCGCGCGAGAGAGCTGATAGGAGTACAGCGGGGACGCGCATCAAGAGACCAGCTGTTCTTCGTCAGGGTGCCCAGGGCCTCTGCGCTCCGCGCGCTGCGCGGTGACTGCCCGCGGCCGCTGGAGAGGCTGGTGCGTGCGGAGTGTTCTGGATTTCATCCCGTGTGCGTCTCCAGCTTGCGGGCTTCAGGGCCAGGTCTCTCGCGAGGGCTTCTTGCGGCCGCGCCCGCACTTCGTTGGACGGAGGAGGACGGGCGCGACGACGGTCGCGTTGGGCCCCTCGGCGGTCTGGGCAGCGGAGGCCCGTTTCTGCACGGGGGCCGCGCGAGGGCGCGCACACGCACGAAGCGCGAGGCTGGGCGAGCACGGGAGAGGTGCGCGGCGGGAGCAGGTGTTCCAGAACACGCTGGAGCAGAAGCAGGAGGCCCTGAAGGGGCAGGCGGACGCCTGCGCCTACGACGCCGCGCTGCTGAACGAGTGCATGCAGCTCCACAGGAGACAGTGCCTTCACGCTGTGCGCCCTGCTTGATCAGAGGCCAGGCGGAGGCAGGCGAACCCATGGACGTTCTGTGGCCGCTTGGAGCCGTCTTGGAGCGGTCTCGGGGCCTCTAGGAGCATCTTGAGGGTCATCTGGGGCCTTCTTAGGCTATCTTGAGCCGTCTCGGAGGTCATCTCGGAGGCTCAAGCGTGCCAGGCGCGCCAGGTGCGGCGCGTGCTCCACGTGCGCCCAGTGTTCCACGTGCTCCAGCCGCACCAGGTGCGCCAGCTAGTGGGAACCAATAGGGGCTCTTGGGCCCGGTTTGAGCTTTTTTGGCGAACTTTTAAGAGCCATGTGGAGGTTTCGAAATCCCATCGGAAATTGTGAGGCGAAACAGCAGCAGCAGCCACTGATGTGTCAAACCAGTCGGTCGACCACCTGCGCCCAGAAGGCAGGTGGGATCTGCTAGCGCCCCATCCGTCCCGTAAAATACCAATACACAATGGTCGCGGGGCGGCCGCGCATGCTCCAAATGTGGAGCCAGAGTTCGTTTTGTATTGTTTTTTGACGGGGATGGTGGCCCTCATGGGGTTGTCTTGGTCCCAGGTTGGCCGCTGGCTGGGTGGGGGAGGAGGTGTATTTTAATAGGGAACTTATCAAGATCCCCAGGTAGCAAACCGTCTAGCTCACCACCATCCGCCCTCCCAACACATCAGTAACACCCGAGCCTGAGCATGTTCAGCCTGGGAACCAAACTGACACCATGCGCGCGACGCTGGGGCGAGGTGCGCCACGCGTGCCAGGCGTGCCACGCGCGCCAGGCACCTCTGGGGCCCGAGCGTGCCAGGCACGCCTGGTGCGCCAGATGCGCCGCGTGCTCCGCATGCGCCAGGTGCGCCACGTTCGGGGCACGTGCAGAGTGCGTCAGGTGCGCCTGCGCACGTGACAGTACACATCGGGAAACATGTCGGCCCCCGCCATCCTTGTCGAAAATCAGTGCCCATCATTGTGTCTGGTGGGCCTGCGCACAGCAGGCCATACGCCACCACCCCCGCCGTCACTGTCAAAAACCACTTGACAGTGATCGCGGGTTTGCCGCGCACGATCCAGATTTGTCCGCGAGATGCATATTGTATTGTTTTTTTTGTAGGGGTCGTAGCCCTGCGCGCAGCAGGCAGTATACGGACACCCCCGCCGTCCCTGTCAAAACCAATACAAGGTGCTCGCGTGCCTCACGAACATGACTCAAGTCTTTGCCCCAAAGTGTACTTTGTATTTTTTGACATGGATGGTTTTGGGGGGCCGCATCGGGTTGGCCGCGCATGCTCGGAATGTGGAGGCAGAGTGCGTTTTGTATTGTTTTTGACAGGGATGGTTGGGGGGGTGAGCATGGTGTCCTCATGGTTCCTGGTTGGCTGCCAGTCGCCTGGGGGAGGAGGTGTATATTAATAAAGGACAGTGATAAACCCCTCCCCGAAGGAGAAGAAGGGGGTTTGGAAGAGACAGCTCTGTAGACCACCTACGCCCAGAGGGCTGGTGGGATTCGTCTCTTGGACCCCTCTTGGACCCCTCTTGGAGCGCTCTTGGGCGCTCTTGGGGCCGTCTTGAGGCTCTCTTGGGCCTCTCTTGGAGCTCTCATGTGCCCTCTTGGAGCCATCTTGAGGTCCCGGAAGGCCATTGAACGCAAAAAGGCGAGAAGGTCAAATTCATGGTTTTTGCGTAGGTTTTTGAAGGTCTCTGGCGTCTTGGCGGCCTCCTGGGGAGGTTCTGTGGCCACTTGGAGCCGTCTTGAAGCGGTCTCGGGGCCTGTATGAGCATTTAGGGAGCCATCTGGAGGCATACTAGGCCACCTATACGACCACCCTTCGGGTGATAAGGAGGTTGTGGGGGGGGGGAGGGGGGGAACCAACATCTGACTCAATCGATCTCACTATTGATCTCACTCAACGGGACACCACGGGACACCACGGGACACCACGGGACACCACGGGGCACTTGTCGATCTCACTATCGATCTCACTATCGATCTCACTCAACGTACACCACGGGACACCACGGGAAAGCACGGGACACCACGGGAAACCGCGGGACTCCTCCCGATCTCACTATCGGTCTCACTATCGATCTCACTATCGATCTCACTCAACGAGACACCATAGGACACCACAGGACACCACGGGACACCACGGGACACCTCGGGACACCACATCGATCTCATTATCGATCTCATTATCGATCTCACTATCGATCTCACTCAGCGGGACACCACGGGACACCGTTGGAAACCACTGGACACTTGTCGATCTCACTATCGATCTCACTTTTTGGGACACCACGGGACACCACGGGACACCTCGGGACACCTCAGGACACCTCGGGGTACCACATCGATCTCAGTATCGATCTCACTATCGATCTCATTATCGATCTCTCTCAACGGGACACCACGGGACACCACGGACGGGACACTTCGGGGCACCAAATCGATCTCAGTATCGATCTCAGTATCGATCTCATTATTTATCTCACTATCGATCTCACTATCGATCTCACTCAACGGGACACCACGGGACACCACGGGACACCACTGGACACCGCGGAACACCGCGAGCCACCGCTGGACGGGCGGGCGGGGGAGAATCATTTGTCTTGACTTCGCCCTAGCAACGGCGGACACCACGGGACACCACGGGACACCACGGGACACCACGGGACACCGCGGGACATCGCGGTGGCCACCGCGGGAGAATCATTTGTCTTGACTTCGCCCTAGCAACGGCGGACACCACGGGACACCACGGGACACCACAGGACACCCCGGGACACCGCGGTGGCCACCGCCGGACGGGCGGGAGCGGGAGAATCATTTGTCTTGTTTTCGCCCTAGCAACGGCGGGTTCATTTCTCTCGCGCGCCCACGCAGCTTCGCCTCGCCCGCACGCACGACACGAACGAAACGAAGCGATTTCCCGGTTGGGGGTCTCCGTTCCATTGCGATCTTACCCCCGAACCTCCGATCTTGAGCCATCTTGAGGTCCTCGTGGGCTCGCTGAGGCGTTCTTGGAACCATCTTGGGCCATCTTGGACGCTCCAACGCCTCGCGAACCCCCCCCTCCAGGTCCAGGTGAGGGGGTAGGGGGAGGGGTCAAGCTACCCACCCGCCCGCAAGCCGTCTTGCTCACTCCCACCCGCACTCCCAACACAAAGGTAACACCCGAGCCTGAGCATGTTCAGCGGTCGTCTTTGGATGGACAGCTACTGGGAACCAAACTGACCCCATGTGCGCGACGCTGGGAAGAGGTGCGCCACGCGTGCCAGGCGTGCCACGCGCGCCAGTCACCTCTGGGGCCCGAGCGTGCCAGGCACGCCTGGTGCGTGCGCCAGATGCGCCACGTGCTCCGCGTGCGCCAGGTGAGGTGCGCCTGCGAACGTGACAGCACACATCGGGAATCATGTCGACCACCGCCATCCTTTTCGAAAACCAATGCCCATCTTTGTGTCTGGCGGGCCTGAGCACAGCAGGCCTCACGCCACCAACCCCGCCGTCCCTGTCAAAAACCACTTGACAGTGATCGCGAGATGGCCGCACATGATCCAGATTTAGCCGCGAAGTGCATGTTGTATTGTTTTTTGTCAGGGATGGTAGCCCTGCGCGCCGCAGGGACTGTGCTGACACCACGCCGTCCCTGTCAAAACAATACAAAGTGCTCGCGGGCCTCACGAACATGACTTTGCCCTGCCCAATCAGAGCTTGCCTCTGTAGGGGTCCTAGCGGATTCATATGGTTAGGTGAGCTTTGCCACCGATTTCCTCGGCCCGCCTGGGTGCCCGGGTGCCCAGGTGCCCCGGTTGCTTGGTTGCCCAGGTGCCTTATAGCCCTATAACCCTATAGCCCCATAGCCATATTGCCCCATAGCCCTATAGCCCTATAGCCTTATAGCCTTATAGCCCCAGAGCCCAATAACCCCCACAGCCCCATAGCCCTATAGCCCAATAGCCTTATAGCCCAGTAGCCCTATAGCCCTATAGCCCTATAGCCCTATAGCCTTATAGCCCTACAGCCTTATAGCCTTATAGCCTTATAGCCTTATAGCCTTATAGCCTCATCGCCCTGGAGCCCTATAGCTCTATAGCCCAATAGCACTATAACCCTATAGCCCTATAGCCCTATAGCCCTATAGCCAGATAGCCCTATAGCCCTATAGCCCCATAGCTCAAGAACCCTATAGCCCTATGGCCCTGTATCACTATAGTCCTATAGCCCACTTGCCAACTAGCCCTATAACCCTATCGTCCTACAGGCCCATAGCCTTACAGCCGTGTAGCCCTTTAGCCCTATAGCCCTACAGCCCTATAGTCCTATGTCTCTACAGCCCTACAGCCCTATAGCCCCATAGCCCATAGCCCCATAGCCCATAGCCCTATAGCCCTATAGCTCTATGGTCCTACAGCCCCATAGCCCCATAACCCTATATACTCATAGCCCTATGGCCCTATAGTCCCAGAGTCCCGTAGCCCCACTGCCCTATAGCCCTAAAGCCCTACAGCCCTATAGCGCTATAGCCCTATGGCCCTATAGCCCTATAGTTCCATAGCCCTATAGTCCCATAGCCCCATCGCCCTATGGCCCAATAGCACCATAGCCCTATAGCCCTAAAATGACTTCAATTGGTTTTTTTCTCCGGTATCATTCTATTTTGTTTTGACATGGATGGTTTGGGGGGGCCGCATCGGGTTGGCCGCGCATGCTCCAAATGTGGAAGCAGAGTGCGGTTTGTATTGTTTTTTGACAGGGATGGTGGGGGGCGGGCTCGCATGGAGTCGGCATTGTTCCGGGTTGGCCGCTGGCCGGGTGGGGGAGGGGGTGTATATTCATAGGGAACAGTGGTAGACCCCTCCCCGAAGGGGAAGAAGGTGGTTGGAGGAGAAAGCTCTCTAGACCACCTACGCCCAGAGGGCTGGTGGGATTCCCTCGCCTCCTCAGCGTGGAACGGGACGGGAAGAGGGAGTCAGGTGGTCGGTCGTCGGTGTCGGCCTTGTCAGGCTTGTCTGGCCAGGGAGCATGTATGTTTTTTTTTTGGGGGGGGGGGGCAAAGATGCGCGGCCTCCCAGCATGCTCCACGACAGCATCCCAGCGAGCTTCGCTGCTTTCCAGGCGGCCGGAGCCACAGTGGGAAACTGTGCCAAGGGCAGTCACATCACGTTTTCGTTCTCCCCTTGCTCGTCTTGCTTTCTATCATATTGCACAGCTGTCTTCCAGTGGTTGGAGCCCTGTATCCAAGAGGATTGCGCCATTCCGACGACCCCCTGAAGAGGGAAAAAGTCCATGGTCAGGCTTTTGGGGGCCTTTTGGGTACCGTTTGGGAGCCTCTGGGGGCCTCTTCTGGGCCTCTTGGGGGCCTCTGGGGGCTTGTTCGGGGGCCCTTTTGTTGCGGAGGGTTCGACAGTTGTATAGTTTAGTTTCGGTTACCCATCTTGGACCCCTCTCGACCCCTGTTGGTGTCCCCGCTGGCCGTCTTGGGCGCCTCCTGGGTCGTCTTCTGGCCCTATTGGGCCGTCTTGGGGCCCTGTCGCGGGCTGCAATCTTGGGGGCGTCCTGAGCCGTTTTGGACGTGCTTAGACCCACAAATCGAACATGCTGAAGATGTACGTTTCACCAAGGGACCTCGAGGATTTTTGCCTCTTGGGGCCCTTCTGGAGGCCCTCCTGGAGCCACCTTGGGGCGTCTTGGGGGCCTCTCGGGCCGTCCTGGGCCACGCGGGGCGATTTTTGAGGCCCCCTCTCGGCGTGCTCGAGCCCAGCACGAGCCAGCTCGGACGGCGTCTTGGGGCATCCTGGAGCCCACGGCGCGCAGCTCTCGAGGCCGCCGGAGGCCGCCCCGCCAGAGGCCCCCCCCCCCCGGGTGGCGTCGGGGAGCACGGCGGCCCTCCTCCTCCTCCTCCTCCTCCTCCTCCTCCTCCTCCTCCTCCTCCTCCTCCCCTCCCCCTGCCCCCCGTCCAACAGCAGTTTGGGCCCCCAGGGGAGGGGGGGGGAAAGGGGGAGGGGGGACAGCCGATCACAGGGGGGGCGCGCATCGAGAAGCCATGTGCTTGTCGTCAGGGCACCCTCCTCCCTCCTTCCTCATCCCTCCTCCCCCTCCCCCTCCTCCTCCCTCCTCCCCTCCCTCCCCCTCCTCCCTCCTCCTCCTCCTCCTCCTCCTCCTCCTCCTCCTCCTCCTCCTCCCTGGGTGTCTTCGCTCCGCGCGCTGCGCGGTGGCTTCCCGCAGCCGAGGAAGGAGCTGCTGCGTTCAGCTTGCTCCGGGCTTCCCCTCGGGTGCACCCCGCGCGCGGGTTTTCGGGGTTGGGTTCCTTGCGAGGGTTTCTTGCGGCCGCGCCCGCACTGTAGCGTTAAGTCGGGCCCGTCCCTCTACAGGAGGAGCATTCAAAGTAAAGGAGACAAAATCGTCGGGGGACGATTATTGGAGTATTTTTGGCTATTGGGTGTTTTTTTTAGAGTATCTTTTTTTTTCGCCCAGTATCCGCCTGTAGGGGGACGCCCGACCTGAGATGAGCGGCGTCCCCCAAACATACTGACACTATGTGTGCGTCGCCCCCCCAGGGGCGACGCGCGCACCGAGAAGTCTTACAGTATATGCGTCGTGGCGGGCGCTTTCTGGCCACACCGCTCGGGACACGATACAACAACAAGATGGATATATTGTATGTTCTGGTCGGACGCGCGCTTTCGAGGAGGACATGTAGTATTAGGATGTCTCTGTGCGTCCCAAATGTTCTCACACGCCTTCTCACCCCCGGCAAGCTGGGGTGGCGGATTCTTGCGCAGCCGTGTTCTAGAGCCGTGCTCTAGAGCTTGAACTTCTTCGTCGCTCGTTCATTTGTTTGTGGCCCCTTCGGGGCCCCCTGTATCCCTGTGTCTCCATGATGGTCCCAAGGGAGCCGACGGCCCCAAGAGACCGCCCCTTCGTCGCTCAGCTCCTCTTGTCCCTCGCCGCTCCCTGGCGCCTGAGCCAGGGCACGCGTACCACTCGCGTTCGTTTCGTTCGTTCGTCCCCCCCTCGCCCCCCCCGATCTTTCTCCCCGGTCTCCGCTCTCCACATGCCTTCCAAGACGGCTTGCAACCGGCTCCAAGATGCTCGAGACGCCTCGACGACGACCCATCAGGCTCCAAGGTGGGCCCCAAGAAGCCTCACGATAGTCTACGGACCGCCCCCGCGAGGCAGAATGTGAGCACGCAAGTTGTGTTCCTTTTTGCTGTTACCGTTTTCCCTGTTCAAGACGGCTTCGAGACAGGCCCCAGAGGCTTCCAACAAGTCCAAGATTAGAAAAAGAAGAAACCTTTGGCGCTGCGCGCGGATTTCTTGGATTCGCGCTGGACCCCCCTCCCTGGCGCGCGGAGCGCGCCAGGGGCGGCGCCGGAGGCGCCGCCGGGGGGCCCAGGCGCGGATCCAGGAAAATCCGCGCGGAGCGCCAAAAGTTTATGTTTGTGTGCTTTTTTCTTCTTCCTGAAGGTGCCCTGGCGAGCTCCCAGGAGAATCCCGGACGCCCCCGAGAGGAGCCCAACGAGCCCCGGAACCAGCCCCCAAACGGCTCCTCGGACGGCCGAGGCCACCTCGCGGTGTTCCCAAGACAGACCCCCCCTCCGGACGGCCCCCAGGC